AGGGTTAGGAGGTAGGGTTAGGAGTTAGTGTTAGAGTTAGGAGGTAGGCTTAGGAGTTAGGGTTAGAGTTAGGAGTTAGGAGGTAGGGTTAGGAGTTATGGTTAGAGTTAGGAGTTAGGAGTTAGGGTTAGAGTTAGGAGGTAGGGTTAGAGTTAGGGACCCCACAGAGAAGTAAATCCCCACCACATTGTTCCTCACACCTCCTCCGGGTCCACAAAGTCCCTGTCTTTGTTCAGAATTGTCCTGCCGGAAATCACCTCCACCGCATGTCTGCCAAAGTCCCTCTCACGTACACACCTTAAAGTCTCGGAGGTTTGACAGCCTCAAGTGTCCTGTTAGCTCATAGCGCCAAAGTTTTTACTGACTGCGCCATCGTTCGTGTCTCAGAGGAAAGGTTCTGGCAATGTTTACATTAGTCTCCTAGCTAAAGCTAAAGCTCCTTACAGCTAAACCCGGTAATCACCTGCTGACCAATGAGATGGTGAGAGCAGTGCATGTGCACGTGGGCTCCACATTGAACTGCGTCGTTGCTGTGGCTACATAAACAGCTGCTTTCTACAGTTTAAAGTGGCGCATGCGCAGTGCTTTTTTTTCTGGGAGAAGCTAGTCAGAAGTCTGCAACATTTACAATCAATAAAGCCTTTTAACCACTTTCTCTCAGTTACATTAAATAAAGTTAAAATATTTAAAATAAAATTTCCAGAACCATGAAACCTATTTGAGAAGGAGACAAATGTAACTCATTACATTTTATATGTTTCACCTACCATAATTTTGTAATATAAAATTCACAAACAATAATGAATTGCTATATTCATCCATCCATTATCTTTTACCCGCTTCTTACATTTTGGGTCACGGGGGTCGCCTGTGCTCATGTCCAGTAATCACTGTGCGAGGGGCGGGGTACACCCTGGACAGGTCTCCACTCCATCACAGGGACACATAGAGACAAACGAGACAAACAACCATTCACTCTCTCACTCACACCTAGGGACAATTTAGAGTTACCAATCAGCCTAACATGCATGTTTTTGGTCTGTGGGAGGAAACCGGAGTACCTGGAGAAAACCCACGCATGCACAGAGAGAACATGCAAACTCCACCCAGAAAGGCCCCCGGACCGGGATTTGAACCAAAGACCTGCTCGCTAAGAGGCAGCAGCTCTACCAGTTGCACCACTGTGCTGCTAAATTGCTATATGTCAATTGTAACTTTTATGATTAAAAAGAACCACTTGCTCTTGTGCAAGACAGAGGCCTTTCTTCCTTCTCCTGTTCTCCTCCTACTTTTTTGCTCTCTGTCTGTGTATCGGAGTTCCTATTTACATATCTTCTGAAACATAAACTATTGTCATGGATCTGGTCAGCTGGACTTTCAAAGCAATTGATTTTTTTTTTTTCAGCAAAGCAACAGGGTCCTAGAGAACTCTCGTGACCTGCTGAGACATATGCGGCAGGATACGTCATGGATCTGATGTGCCTTTCCGTATTGTCTCAGGAAGACATTGAAGATATTGGAATCATGATAGCAGGGTTTCTGCTTTTTGACACCGGAGAATACCTATGTATTGGCTATTAAAGAAGACAGTGGCAGCAGTTACGGCCATGGCAAAGCTGCCAGCCCTGTCTGCAGGTGTGGTTCGTGCTTCGAGCACTCAAAATCAGCTGATTTACAAGCTAAACCGTAAGATCGAAGCGATTCGTGAGATTCGCAGGCCACTTGCGGCTTCTGAGACTTGCCAGCATGTTGGGGACGACCTTGGAGGGAGCTAATAAGCATGGACCAGTGGAATGCCCACAAATCGGGCCATTTTGGATTAAAAGTACCAGCAGACCTTAAGGCTGATGAGAAATATAATTTTGCCTGAAAAAAAATCAACAAATGTGGCTTATCTGAATCTGACTCCCCCGTTTGGCCTTGAAGCAGGCCAACTTATCAAATTTCTCCTGGGATACGTGTAAACTAAGAATGCTGTCTATCGCAACGCCCCCAAAAAAAGAAAAAAACTTCTGTGAAATGCTTATCAGAACTATACCGACTGACACCAACATCTTAACAGGACTATGGTGCTTTCTGGAAATGCTTCATGGACAAATCTCACCATCTTGTAATGAAATGCATATTTAATATGCCTATAAATGGGCTAGCTGGTAGAGTTTTTTTTTATGTCTTAAATCATGTCCTGATACGGGCAAGGTGTGAAGAGAAATTTTTTGTAATACCACTATCCTCTCCTCATGGCCTTTTACCCTTTTCCTATCTAAAAAGAATAAAGGGCCGCGCTCTTATAAGCAGCAGCAACGTGCACGCCGCCCATTTTTCAGACGACTGTACGAACATTATCTCACTGTATTTCTGTACAATGATAAAGCTTATTCTGATTCTGAACAAAGCACAAACATATAACAAAGTGTCAAGCACTGTGGTGGAGGGGTGATGATTTGGGTTTGCTCAGAGAGCATAAGCAGTAGGCACCTTGTAGTTTTAGGATCCACATGCACTCCTTTGAATATTGAGGTATACCATTTATTCATTATCATTTAATAATGCTGAGAGAGATGGAAATCTTACACGTGAAGTTTACTTTTACTAATTACTGCTAAAGGTGGCTCTGCAAACTACTGAGTACGCATCATCACTGAGTTTTTCACACACAGCTGCTGTTGTTGCTAAATAAACAATGACACTGTGGCTGGTTGTCATTTATCTGAAGTTGAAGCAAAGTTAAGACTCTTTTCATTCTAATTCACTTTTTCCACTTTCATTCTGTCACTGCCTGTGTAGTGTCCATAAAGTGCACATAGAGGTCAGTGTGTTTCTGTTGCTCCTTGGTTCTTCAGTAGAGCACAGAGGTAATTTGAAAAGAAAGAAACCCGGACATTGTCCAGCATTTGCTGCCCGTTGGTGGAGTGAACCGCTTGTGTTCAGAGACCAAAGACACTTTTTTATGAGCGATTGTTCTCTGCAGACTCTGATCCTGCAGTCATGACCTCCAATTCCAATTTATCCAGCATGCGACGGTTGGTAGAGCAGCTGAAACTTGAGGCCAGTGTGGAAAGAATCAAGGTAAGTTTTTTTTAATAGTCTTTTTCTGTTTCACTTTGTTTTACTATGTGCTTCCAATGGTTAAACATTATTGTATCATGTAATATTCAGCTAGTTTATTCCAGTCTCCAAAATGACAAAAATATCATAGACTCACATCATTTTGAATACTTTTAGTCCAGCCTTTCCCTTTTGAACTTATTATAATGTATAACTATATTTATGAAGCTAATAAGAAGGGGTGCATTGATTGCAGTTTTCTAGCCGATCACCGATTTCTAAAAAGTCTGACCTGCTGATTCTGATTTTGGCCGATACCGATTTTGTTTTATAAGCAACACTGTCAGGTGTTATAAGGTCACAATGCATCTTCAATTTTCCAATCTTATTTTATTGAAAAACATACCCTTGAACAATATCCTAGAAACAATACAAACTTGTTTTAACTGGCCATGAGGTAGTGCTCTGAAATATAAATGAAGTTCAGACAATTGTGGTTAAAACTACAAACAACAACAACAAAAATCTGTAAAAGTGGCTGATCTCTCAGAAAGAAATCGAGGCCGATAAATCGGCCGGCAATAAATCGGCCGGCGATAAATCGGCCGGCGATAAATCGGCCGGCGATTTATCGATAAATTGGACGGCAATTTATCGATAATAACAATTAAAAAAAGCCAAACATTTCTACTTTTGGACATTTTTAAAAACACTATATTCACAAAACGTCTAGAATTCAAAAGACTGATTTTTCTTTTCTTACTTGAGCACTGTAGTTTTTATTTCGAGCATGTAAAAGATTATTTTTGAAATGTGACGTTAATGCTTTACCTCAGATGGGGGAAAAAAAAAAATATATATATATATATATATATATAAATGTTTGAGATTTTGGTTACACCGAGCTGCTTTCTTACTTCTTACTTTGATAAATAATTAGAAAAAAAAAAACTTGTCAACATCACTTATTTACAACTGCTAACATAAGGAAACAGTTGTATGAGAAGTCTGTTGTTTTCTAACTCAGCAGGAACATTTTTACAGAATATGAGCTGGATATGTTGCTGGTGTTTCAGGTGTCCCAGGCAGCTGCAGACCTGCAGCAGTATTGTCTGCAGAACGCCAGCAAAGATGCCCTGCTGGTTGGAGTCTCTACAGGCAGCAACCCGTTCAGGGAGCCCCGCTCCTGTGCTGTGGTGTAAACATCAGTCTGTGTTCACTCAAACTAAACCCTTGTCTGCTTCAACCGCAGTTTAATTTCAAATAAGCAATTGAAGTTTTGGCACCATGCCTGAAGACGGTGGCATCACTCAGAGGAAAACAACTTCTAAACTCTATTGTATCACCTGCAACCTTTTTATTTGTTGTCTGGTTTTTCCTTTGGCGTCTTTATTTACCGTGTGATTGTGAGCTTTGTGTACTGCAGCTGTAAGATACAGCCATTATCTGCAGTTTGTACTGAACGGATGTTTAAGCGTGCTCTCTAAATGACACTTAGGAATCTCCTGGCGCGGGAACTTCCTGATGTTGAGTCTAAGTTAGGAACACAGCCGGCGAGAGGAAACGCCGTCTGCTGGTTCAAACTGCAAAGATTAAATGCAAGATGTCTCCTGTTTGTTTATTTGTTTGTTTTTAATGCATGAGCTCGAGCAAGGATAAATTATATAAAAAATGGTTGCTGTTATTGTCCTTTAAATTGGAACATTAACTCAAAAAAATGAATCTGTATTGTGTAGAAAGTGAATGGTATGCATTATTAATGCTGCTCATTAAACTTCAGTGTTAAGTCACATAAAAGCTTTGTTTTTTTTTAGGTTCGTTTTAAAAAATGCAATTAAAATTGCCTTTTTATTTCAGATATTAGACGATTACCACTTAAACAGCTTAGTTCACTCTAAATAATGTCTAGCCAGTCATGAGATGGCACATTTATTTCTCTTTTTTATCACTTCCTTTTCCTCTTGGTGCACTGTACGGATGAGTCTCGGTAGAGTTCTCATGTTTGCTTTTTTTTTGTTGTTGTTGTACTGAAAAACCTTGATGCGATGCTCTTAGCATTTAAGTATAACTTTTTTAAGACAATCTTTGCAATGAAACTGTTTATTTTATATACATTTGAAATCAAGACTAAAAGTTGACCTACTGGTGTAACAATTAAAGCAATAAAGAGAACATTATGTAATCAGGTTATTTAATTTCCTTAATAAAATCAAGGATTTGTTTCTGGTTGTGCTTATCTGTAATTTAACTTACTAATGCCTCATGATGTGCAAAATTGTAATGACAAAGGAGAAATTAAACATTAATGTATGTAATGCAAAACTGTATATTCTGTAAGAAAAATGAAAATTTGTTTCTATTTCTGACAGTAACTTTTGAATAAAATTACAAAACAGAATAAATACAATGTTTAATGTTGCATATTTAGCGTGCTGTCCTGTTACAGAGATATCTACATAAATATGAACCTGTCTATTTAAAGGTCAGTGTACTCTGATTTTAGCATTTGTCTTGTTATAAAGTAACCAAGCTGGTAGGCATCACTTCTAGGGAACTAAATTAGTCAGATTTACACTTTTAACTTTGTAAAATAAATTTATAAATGAGTCATTAGTAAACAGTTCTCATCTGTATAGCACAGAGACAAAAACACCTTCTTGTTAAATTGTGCTGCTTTTATATGTTTGCAAACATACTGAAGTTACCAACATTTCCAAAGTGTCAGTTTAAAAATTAGATTAATTTGTTTTTAACGTGAGCAGCACGGTGGTTCAACAGGTAGAGCTGCTGCCTCTCAGCGAGCAGGCCCTTGGTTCAAATCCCGGTCCAGGGGCCTTTCTGGGTGGAGTTTGCATGTTCTCTCCGTACATGCGTGGGTTTTCTCCAGGTGCTCTGGTTTCCTCCCACAGACCAAAAACATGCATGTTAGGCCGATTGGTAACTCTAAATTGTCCCTAGGTGTGAATGAGAGAGTGAATAGTTGTTTGTCTCGTTTGTCTCTATGTGGCCCTGTGATGGACTTGCGACCCGTCCAGGGTGTACCCCGCTCCTCGCACAATGATTGCTGGACATGGGCACCGGCGACCCCCATGACCCAAAATGGAAAAAGCGGATAAAAGGTAATGGATGGATGGATGGATGTTTTTAACGTACTACTCCTTCAAATTCAGAGGATTGAAAGGTGTATAGGAAATTAAAACAACAAACTGAACACTTGCAGTAAGGAAAAGTATTTCCATCAATCCTTTATATTTACCTGCTTCCTTTTTCGGGTCATGGGGGTCACTGGTGTCCATGTCCAACTATCACTGTGTGAGAGGTGGGGGACATCCTGGACAGGTCCCCAGTCCATCACAGGGACAAACGAGACCAACAACCATTCACTCTCTCACTTTCACCTAGGGACAATTCAGAGTTACCAATCAGCATAACATGCATGTTTTTTGTCTGTGGGAGGAAACCAGAGAGAACATGCAAACTCCACCCAGAAAGGCCCTTAGGCTGGGATTTGAACCAGGGCAACCTGCTTGCTGAGAGGCAGCAGCTATATCAACTTATCCACCGTGCTCCCGGAATAGAAATGACTTATTATATCATTCTTCTTATTCTTATTCTTATTAGTTTCGGTAATTAAAATCATTCTTTGGAGAAAATAAAAAAACATTGCTGTATTTATTGGGGGTGCTACTTTTTGGGCGGATGCAGAAGTGGTTGCCAAGCAAGCAGCAAAGTCCACAGACAAAGAAGAAAAAAAAATGTTCAGGAAGGAGATAATTATTGTAATTTTGTGATCACATGGAATAATTATACAACTTATTTTCAGCTGCTCTCTTCCTCAGGGAGCACCACAGCGAACTAACTCACATGAAGCCTAATTGTTTTTTTACGCCGGATGACATTCTTGACTAAACCACAGACCAGTGCTACCACAGCCTCTGTGTGGAGCAGAGAGCTGCTATCTAGTGCAGCCGGGGGAGCAGATGGTGGGGTTAAGGGCCTTGATCAAGGGCCCAGAGTGGGGCAAATAACAGTGGAGACAGGTGTGGGTGCTTCCCCCACGTTTTGACATTGCCAGTCCGGGGGGTGGGGGGGTGTTGGACCTGCGACGTTCCAATCACAGGCTCCACTTCTCTAACCTCTGCACCACCACTACCCCATATGGAATAATTATACAACTATTGATGCAAAATCTTATTGCATTTTCAAAACACATTTATACTTATTACCACTCGAATATAAGTCAACCCTTTTATTACACTAACATTAATGAAAAAATTACCTTTAAACATAAATATTTTGTTTATTTTTGATCAATTTGTAGATTTTGGCGTAGAGTTTCAGGTTTTGATGGAATGGAAGGTGAATTATCTTTTATGCATTTTTTAATTTTTTTTTTTTTGACACGGCTTATGATAAACAGAAGTTTAGCTTCAAGCTTCCTCTAAATGGAAGTTTAAAGGATTACTTTAAATATCCTGGTCCTGATTACTTTAAATGATTTTTTGATTAGATCCCGATAGACAAGTTTATTGATCACAAACAAGACTGGGAACAAGTGTCATTTTACAATTAGTGTGTCTGTTCGCTAAAGATCTGATGAAACTGCAAACCACTTTAAAATGTTTCATGTTGAAAGCATTTATTTACGAATCCATATCTCCAAGAAACTGTAAAATACTGCCATCTGGTGGTTAACTTGAAAATAACATGGTGGTGTATGTAGTTTCTCCATTGTAAACAGCTGCCACCTGATTGTAAAAGCTTCCAATGTGTGCTGAAGTATTAAAAAAAAATCTGCATAAAGTTTCACAAGTCTAGGATTTTCTGAAAATAATAAATATTAAGCTTTTAGTTATACTGCATTGTAACAGCGCCATTGATAATAGTGATAAGTAGAGAGCAGTAAAGTTGACCTGATGTGGGCTCATTAAATGTATCTTCACATCTTATCTCTTATATTCACTGGTTTTGTTTGTTGAATCTGTCAAGTCATTTGTACAGCTGTCAGATCAAATGTTGAATGAATCATACAATGGTTCCATAAATAGCCAGGAAATAGTCTTGAACAAAAACAAGCCCTGATGTCACAATTGTCTTGTCGGTGCTTCTACACCTGTCTGCTTTCTGTTCGTCACACTCCCAAAGATAATGAAAGTCCAAACAGAGTCATAAACATTCGTCTGGTAAACAGGTGCTATGTTAAAGACTCCACCTGCCTTTCATTCTTGAGAAAACAACACCAGGGCAACACAGGCCCTCTTGTTGAGTGAGGAGGAAATAACCTGACTACTTTGTGTAGAATTGTCTTCTCCTTTAAAGGTGTGGGCGGAGAGAGCAAAGCAGAGTTGGGTTTCAGTGCCTCCCTCTTCAGCACAGAATTCAGAGAGCCACTCTGGACTGCAATTTGCGTGTGGTCAAAGCGTCATTTTGTTCTGGCTGACATGAAGGTAGCCACCATCGATGAAGAACCACGACACGACGCACCACTGGGGAACTTCCAGCTCTTGTCCACACCTTTCTCAAAGGTCACTGACCTCTGAAAAGGCTTCAGTCCAGTTGGACTTCTTTTTGCCAATGACAGGATTTTCAGGAACCGGATGAGTCTTTTTGTGAAGTGAGGAGATGGTAAAGGTGTACAGGCTCTATGCAGGAATATTAGCAGGTAAGATTTGTTAGTTGGTATACTCACCTTCTTTTTTAATCAAGTTCTACTTGGACATAAAAAAAAACAACTTTCTCCATTCTTTATCCAAAATTAAGTTTGATTAATTATTCAGTCAAATCTAAATTAAAGGCAGTGTTTACCCACCAGGCAGTATCTGTAGTAAATTTTTAGTGTGTGTTAATGATTGAAGGAAGAGTTTGCACACAAGCAATAAAATCTGTCGTTCCAGTTCATAGTCGGGGCTGTTTTCACTGTTTCATGTTTAAAAACTTGTGATGTCCTCAAGTCGGTGGTTTTACAGCAGAGTTGCCATCTCTAATGCAGGACTGCATCAATGGTCACAGATTGGTTTCACCTGTTGCACGTGAGCACAAGTTTGTTGTGTGGGACTATTTTGTTGTTTGTGTTTCCATCTGCAGCTCTGGCCTTATGCAAGTACAGCCTGGCAGAATGGAATACCACTGAGGTGCCCACCAATCGAACTCGACCCGACTGTCATCATGGCGACAGAAGCAACTGTGCAGGTAGATACGAGGAGCCGAGAGGGGCAGACTCCTCTGTGGTGACACAAAAAGATGAATGATTGGAGGTTTAATGGCTGAATGAACACAGTACTCATACGGAGCATGGGGGATTTTTTTATTTTGCGTTTCCTCACAATATTTTTGCGTTCCCTTGCAATATTTTTGCGTTCCCTTGCAATACTTTTATAGTATTACTTTAAGAAACCATCCAGACGACCTGACTTAACTTTGATGGATTTTTTTACCTGGATTATTGAGCATGAACTTTGATACCTTGGATTCATTATAATGTATGGGCACCAGTGACCCAAAATGGAAGAAGCGGGTAAAGATGATGGATGGATTAACTTAACAGCAAATATGTATATTTACATACAAGACACCTTCAAATGTTAACACTTTTTATAAAGCTGTTTTATAAAATACTGAATATGATTGTGCTGATGCATGATCAATAATCCAGCTAGAAAAATCTAACAAAGGTTAAGTCAGGTCCTCTGGACGGATTCTTTAGGAAACCGTCCAGTAATACTAGAAAAGTATTTAGAGGGAGCACAAATGTATTGCGAGGGAACACACACACACAAAAAAAAATCCCCCATGTCCCCTCCGGGACTCCATATCTTTGTACTCCACAAAATATAAATATATTTAGGATGAGTCTTTACATAAATGACCAAAAATTATGCTGTCAACACTTTATGTGAAGAGTCAATTTATTATAGTGGACACTAAATATCATCTGCATACTTTCAAAGATATTTGCTTCAAATTAATATTTTAAGCATTTTGAAGTGAGGTTTTGTGGAATATATGAACAAGTATTATCTTAAATCGTTGAGGTGGTTTTATTTGTGTAGCTTTTTATAGTTATTTGAAAGTGTTGATGGCAGAAGCAGAAAGCTGTAGCATCTCCAATGCAGCCTGGGGTCATGTTCATCAGAATTATTGTGAATCGCTCTGTTCCAACATGAACCTTAATGAAACTTAGAAGATTGTTGTTGTTGTTTTGAGTCAGCCTGGAAGTGAATTCAAGCAGGTGTGGGTGGAACAACTTCCAAAGCATTCATTCATTCATTCAACCTTTATTTATGCAGACTAGCCTCATTGAGCCACAGGGACTCATTTACAAGACGGACCTGTTCCAGACAGAACATACAAAGTACAGACAACAAAACAGTAAACGATGACAACAATAAACTACAGCAAAAATGCAGTTAAAATAAAAGTAGTGTACAAAACAATAAATCAGGGTGCCGTAAAACAGGGTGAAATACATAAAACAAGAACATATTTGCTTTGATTTTTCAATTGACATTATCAAATGTTTGAAAACCCTTTTAAAGAAATTAGGGTGGACAACTTCAGTTCTTGTTGCAAGGTGTTCCAGGTTGCAGGGGCTGAGTAGGAAAAGGCCTTTTTACCAAGTTCAGTCCGCACTGAGGGAACGCTGCAGATAATGATGGCCTGAGAGTGCATGTTGTAACTGCACTGACGACGTGACGTGGGAGGAGAAATAAGAAGGTAGCAGACCAAAGAGGGATTTATAAAAGGAAATGAACCAGTGTGAGAGCCTACATGTAGATAATGACCAGCTGACCATGGAGTACAGGTTGCAGTGATGGGTACGATAGTTACAACCAGTCATGATCCTTAACGCGCCATGATAGACAGCATCCAACATCTGCAAGGAGCTGGCAGGGGCATTCATGTAAATAATGTCACCATAGTCAATGGCTGATAGGAAGGTAGCAGCTACAAGGTGTTTTCTGGCATTCGGAGTTAAGCAAGATCTATTTCTGAAAAAGGAACCCAGTTTTAATTACAGTTTCTTTATCAAGTTTTTGATATGTGGTTTAAAAGAGAGATGTGCATCGACCAAAATGCACAAGTATTTGTAAGAATCTACAAACTCAATAGGAACACCATGCATGGATGAGATAAGAGGAAGAGCTGTTGGCACCAACTTTCTGTTGGAAAACAACATCCCTTTGGTTTTGTCAGCATTTAGCACCAACTTGATGGAATAAGTTTGACTGAATGATGTCAAATGCAGACTGTAGAAGCTGGAAAACCTTGGCAACTGTGTTAGCTCGGCAATAATGAACAGTGTCATCGGCATAGAGATGCATGAATGCATCAGGAATGTTTAGACCTACATAATTTATATAAATTGTAAAAAAAAAAAAAAAAAAAGTGGGACCTAAACTGAGCCTTGTGGCACACCATTGGTGACCGCTAGGTAGCTAGTTGAACTACCGTTATGTCGAATACATTGTCTCCGACCTGAGAGATACCAGTAGTTTGAGAACTGTGGAAGCATACTGTGCTGCCTTAAAATACTCAAGTCTTCTAAATTTCACTGTTTTGCAATTGAATAAACCTTTATGAAATTTCGGTTCAGCTGAAATATTGTTATCGTGTTATATTATTTCTGCAAGACATACTCAAACTGCACTGGAAACGCTCATCGAATAACCACAGACTTCTGGCTAAATATTTACGTAAAATAATTCACATTGATGAAACAGTGTTTTCATAAGGCTTCAAGAACAATTTAGAGTTGTGTTAGTGTCATAAATATTTAAAGGCTTTCAGTTCTGCATCAGTGTTTTTAAAGAGGAAAAATAAGCAAGATGAGTATAAATATTTGGTAAAATTACATCCCATAATAAAGCAACATGAGCACAAGGTAAAACAAATGTAAATGTTTTGGGAAAAAAAAAATACTATTCAATAACAGAACATTTTGTAGACGGTCTAATTAGAAGTTTAAGTTGTTTTAGCGAGAAATGATACAGCATCTTAATCAACTTTAACTAAAGAGCCTCCTGTGCTGGTTGCTGAAGGACCTTCTACAGCACACGTGTCAAACTCAAGGCCTGGGGGCCAAATGTGGCCCTCGTTGACATCTTGTCTGGCCCCCAAGATGATATGTTAAACGTAAAATACTTTTTTTCACTTTAATTTTTTCAGTAATCTTTGATTATGATGTCAAAAAGTGCAACAGAGAACGTCAATTGAGACTAATCAAACTCTTGTTGAGGAACCTGCAACCAAGAAAAGATGTTGGGTATCTGACTTGAGTTAAAGTAGATTCTGAAACTGGCCCTTAGTTTGAAAAAGGTTTAATTTTTGGCCACGTTTTGTGAGTTTGACACCCCTGTTCTACAGCTTCACCACTTTTACCTGAAGGAACGTCTACTGCTGATGCTTCAACTTTGACAACTCTGGATAAACGGCATGATCTCCGTGGCAGAAAGCATCGCTCCCGTTTGTGATGACCCTGTATCGATCTGCCAGTATCCTGACCAAGCTGCAGATGCTCCCTGGAGAACCATGTTTTGCCAACTGTTGGCTTCTTGTGGAACCCAACACCTGAATTGCTGCACCAGGAGTGGTCTTTAGAATCATACGGATTCGGCGGTGTGTGGGGATATGTGTTCAGCTACAAAAGAGGCGAACTCAGTCTGTATCAGCAGGATGAAGATGAGAGACTGAGGCCCATGAAGTGCTAACATGTAATGACTGGTCAGTTTTCAGAATGGCAATACCTCATAGTTCTTACACCACCAAATCTGTCCTTAGCTGGGGAGAAAACAAAATCTCACTGATGATTGCAAAACATGTCAAAAGGGGATATTTTCCATCTCAAATGGAAATGACAAAATCTGGATCACATAGGTGAGCAAATCTCCACAGCTGCTGGTGCTCAGCCGACGTTCTGGCTGTGGACAAACTAACCTTTTAAGCCTTGCTTCCCAAAGCCCCACCTCTACAATATATAAGGAGACAATTGTACGGATTCCTGCTACAGATTTTTTTCGCTTCAGTATGACTTGGACTAGGATGGAGAAAATGACCAGGACTGGCAGACAGACTACACTGGCCTCCTGCTGGGGAATATATGTCCAGTCTGAAGATGTACCAGAGAATTACAGCTTGGGTTCTTCACTCTCAGTGGCTGAGAGCAGACAAAGGAAGCATGTTTCTCAGACCTAAGATGTTTTCGTGATCCAGGAACCTGGTGATTTTTCACTAAGTTGTGGCAGGACAGAACAAAAAGATAAAAATCTCAGATAAGACAGACCTTTTATTATTCCAGGCGCTTTCCCATATATCTGCTCAAACACTCGATCAGGTCAGTAAAGGAAGGTTATTGTTTGTATGTGTGGCAACATGTATTAAGATAATCTTTAAGATAATTCTTGAAAGACACATTTCAGCTACATACAGGGAAATTATAATTAGAGGACCTCTAGAACATTCCCATGACTTTTGATTGACACCTGTCCAATCCAAGTTTGACAAACGGTGATGTGTTACTGTATTTATCTTGCCTTTTTATAGTTTTTAGATGGTTGAAGAAAATGAAGGATAAAAAAGGCGTTCTTTAATCTTTGTGCTTGTTTTAATTATTGTACACTTTTTTTAAATCAAAAGCAGGCGGAACATATTGTGGTCAAGCTGATTTTTGCTTTAATTATAAGCCTTTTGTGTAGATATTGTTTGACGTTTAGATCTGGATGCTCTATTGATCTTCTGTGCTGTTGTGCAAACCTGTAAATGTCCATGTATCCATCTTACAATAAGCTTATTACATATAACACATGCACCATCCTTTTCTTCACTGTGGAATGAGCAAAGGTCTATTAGATGAAGGGAGGGTCAGACCTGTTTAAGATTTTTAAACAGAAGAGTCGCTGCTGATCTCTTTTTACAAAGACAGGTGTGAAGAGACAATGAACACTCCTTTGCTACATGAAATCCCTGTATTTACATTTTGGTTGACAATCTCCATCTTCTTGCTATTAAAGTGAAGTAAGTTGCTCTTCCTTGGCCTTTCTACAGTTTTCAGGATCAAAGCATTTTCATGACTCCAATCCACAAGATGTTGGACCTCCTCTTTATAGGTCTCCTTTTTGTCCTGCTATCTCAGTGTGGTCAGAAAATCTAAGGTTGGGTTGGGGTTCAGTCATGCGTAAAGCTTTCAGGCTGGTGTCATGACAGTCTATATAGGTCAACTCCTTTGGGCTTCAAAGCACACAAAGAATTGGTTGCAGCCATCTGGATGGGTATTGTTGCTGCTCTGTTGGGCGTTGCCTTTGGTTTGAGATCAAACTACGAAAACGCTGATTAAAGGACAACCATTTTACCGTCATAGTAGGCCTCGGTGTGCAGACGAGAGCTTAGATTGTCCTATACCTTTTTATTCTGCTTTCTGTTGGATGAGATTAAATTTATTTTAAGAAAAGCGCACCCTATTTCTTTTGATTTAGCCAATCACCACCAGACTAAGCTAAGTAGCTTCCTGTTTTTGGCTAAAATAAATTTCCCCATCATGGTTGAATATTTGTAAGACTGCAAAACACTCGTATCTCCATGAATACAGCTTTAAACTTTGTTACAGGAGTTTTTTTCCTTTCAGTGCCAAGGTTGTGGCTTTGAGCCAGTTCTCAAGTTACAGCTAACAAGTGGAGCGCTGCCTTTGATGTCACTTGCACGGCAGTATTGCTTTACAATCTCATTTTGTGAGAGATTACTTAATTGGAGGAGGTTTTCAAGATAGCGGCAGCTTTGTAGGAAGTGCTACGTGAAACTGGTGGTCAGAAGTTCAACAGATGTTTCAGGCTGAGGCAGCAAAGAAATTAAGTCGCAAACAAGGAGAAAGGAAATCCCTACATTCTATGGTTCTTTTGGCAATGTACCACTCAAAACATGGTTAGTGAGCTCTTGGTGACTCTTGGCCTTTCCTGGCAATGATTAGGCTTCCTCTCTGGATCACATTTCAAGCTGTCTATTTATAAATCAGCTCAGAGCAGAGGGTGAAAATGTATGTCATAGAAGCAAGCGGACAGAACATTACGCAGCTACAAAAATAGACAATTGGGGGTAAGAAAGGAAATGCTCCACGATTTGTTCAGTCAAACAACATGGCTAGGAAAAAAAAATATATATATATATATACTGAAGCTGTTCACAAAATTACCCTCTATTAAGTAAATATAGTTATTTGAATTTCATCCACAGATGAAGGCTATGCTGAATTTACTGATGAAGATGGTGGTGTCCTGACCTATAACAATAATCTTATGGCTTAATGAATAGTTGTGTAATGCCACACAAATATCTAAATATACATGATTTGACTATAATCTGGAGGGCTCCTTAGCTAAATGTGGAGTGAATTATTTTAAATATAAGGAGGAAGGTTGTTTTTATTGCATTTGCAATATAATTTTTTTCAATCGCTACTCATGATCATAGGTGAGAGTTGGAACATAGATTGACTAGTGATGCAATGGTCTCTGTTCATCATGACCGAGCGGTGCAAAGTTTGCATCACTGCAGACACTGCCCCCGAGACACTTGAACTTTTTCATTTAAGGCAGTAGCTTATTCCCAACCTGTGCTTTCAGCTGAGGACCACATGGCTTCTGACTTAGAGGTGCCAACTGACATCTCACTTGTTTCATGCTTGGCTACAAACCACTGCAACGCCAGCTCATTGTGTCAAACAGGACCACATCATCTACAAGAAGCAGGTGATGAATCCAAAGCATCCTGAACTGGAAACCTTTTCTCTTTGTCTAGATAGTTCACTCATAGGAGTGATGCACAGAACGGACGACTGAGTCTAATCAAAAAGAAGGCTGCCCAGTTACTGAGAATAAAAACCTACCAACTATAAAGAAACTGAATGACCCAAGTTTAAACTCTATGCCAAATGTTGCTTTGTTGGGACACGGACACTGGACTCGTGGGAACTATCTGTGGGGCTTGGTACCAGCATGTTGAGTCCAATAAGTGAAGCTTCTGTGAACCAAAAGTCTTCTATTTATGTCCATGAACTTGTTTATATGTAAATCATTCAAATTTGAATGGCAAATTAAGTATATAAGGCCTTAAATATGTTCCTAAAACCAAACCTGAGTAGTTGCTTGTATGAAAGTCAAGAAATTATCTTGCTCAAAATACAACATAGAAAATATACCTGTCAAATCTGACAGTTATTTTGTTACAATTTCATAAATTTAGATGGTATGTTGTAACTGAGTTTAACATTCACATAAAGTTACTAACCCATCGATCTGTATTATTTACTTAAAGTAATTTATTTTAAAATGCTGTACTTCTTTGAAAATATAATTTTAGATAATGCTTCATCTATCCTGCAGAAACACAAACAGATGGGTGGAGTGGACACTTCTCAAAATGCCCTGATGAGCTTTCGCATTACTGCATCCACGGGGAGTGCCGTTACGTTCTGGAGCAGAACACACCATCCTGCAGGTAGGAGAAAGCAGCAAAAAGGTCCAGGAAGGAGCATGAAGGGGAAAAATTGAATTGTTAGAGAAGTTTGGCTACAAGGAAACCTCTGAAAGCAACAGACAAAGAAAAATCTCTTGTTCAGAAATGCTTTTATATTCCTGAATGAGTTTTTAAAGATGATGCAAGGAAACTTTGGGAGCAGACAAACATATGGTAGTATTAGGATTTTATTTAAAATAACAGAAATGAAAGTTATGAATATATTTTTGTTTTTTTTTTCCCCATCTTAGATGTCAGAGTAATTACATTGGTGCAAGGTGTGAATATGTGGACTTGGACTGGCTAAAAGGAGAAAAACGACACATCTTAATAGGCTGCGTCGTTGGAGGGCTGGTGCTCTTGATCGCCCTTGTTGTTTTCATCTGCATCTGTTCACAGTAAGATCAAATTTATTTTATTAATGTCTAAAATGTAGTTAAAGGAACAGCTTGGCATCCTCAATTTAATCTTTGGCTACGTTTATCCTTAAAAATTTGTGAAATCACTGAGTCCATCTTGCTCAGCTCATGTCTTTGATCACTTGAGACAAGTTTATATCCAGAGCTTTTTACCAGAGAGCTTTTTTGGTAGAAAAGGAAGTGTTAATTCATAACCAAATGCACCGAGTTTGTATTAATGTGTAAATGAGAAACACTTTGTGAAGTGCTTTGTGGAACCTAAATTGAGCTAAAATGCTCCTATACGAGTGTGAATGGTTTAGAAGCCTATTGGACTTTTGTTTTTGTCATTTGGAAGCAAAATTCCAGTCTTATCCACTGGAGAGGTTTTTCTGTAGGAGGCTATTGGACAAGGTTCTTCTATAAGTTGCATGCATTTCTAAAGCTCACAATCATGTGCGGAAGTTTTAAACAATGCCTAATATTCTTAAAATTGTGTTTCCAATTAGCCAATCTTTCCTGTAATCTTTAATTTGGTCTTGGTTTTGATGAATAATTCTTCTGGATTTCAGAAGTCCTTTAAAAGTTTCAGCTGCTCTTTCACATATCTTCTCCCTGGTCCTTGATTAAGAAAACAAACAAACAAACAAACAAACAAACAAACAAACGAACAACACCAATAAAAAACAAAAACAACAATTCACTCAAAAATTTAAAAAGAGAACAAGTGGAAGACAAAATGTCAATCCGAGAACACTATCCGCAGCAGAGAAACAGTTTTACTAAAATGCATTAGCTGGTTTTTAGTGGCTGGTTAAATCAGCCACTAGGGAGCACAAGACAGTGTATCTCTTGTGCCAATCCAAAGCCCGAGTAAATGGTGAGGGTGTCAGGAAGGGCATCAGATGTAAAACACTTGGCAAAACTATAATGCGAGTTCATCAACGCGAAACCATACCCTATTGGTCGAGGCCTGGGTTAACAACGACCGCCACCAGTGCTGTTGACAAACGGTACCAGTGGAAATTGTGCTACTGTTAGTGAAAGACCATGAGGAGGAAAACATGTCAGGAGACGGAGGGAGAAAAGTAACATCAAGAATGTAGGACTGAGGGTTGGAACTCTAAATGTGGGGATGACAGGCAAAGGTAGAGAGCTGGCTGACATGATGCAGAGAAGGAAGGTATGTTTTGTGTGTTCAAGAGACCAAGTGGAAAGGCAGCAAGGCTCGCAGTATTGGAGCAGTTTAAGCTGTTTTTACCATGATATGGCTAGAAAGAGAAATGGAGTAGGGGCAATCCTGAAGAAGGAGTTTGCAAAGAATGCAGTAGAGGTGAAGAGATTGTCAGATAGGGTGATGTGCCTGAAGGTAGAAGTAGAAGGTCTGATGCTAAATGTTGTCAGTGGTGATGCTCCACAGGTTGGGTGAAACAGAGGGGATGAGGAAGTGATGGGTAGGTTTATTGTCAAGGAAAGAAACCAGAAAGGACATATGGTGGTGGATTTTGCCAAGAGAATGGAAATGGCTGTAGTCAACACATATTTCCAAAAGAGGGAGGAACGTAGAGTGACCTATAAGAGTGGAGGAAAGAGTATGCAGTTTGACTACATTCTGTGTAGAAGAGAAAACCTGAGGGAGATTGGGGACCGTAAGGTTGTGGCAGGGGAGAGCGTGGCCAGACAGCATCGGATGGTTGTGTGTAGAATGACTGTTGTTGTGAAGAAGAGAAAAAGAGTAAAATCAGAGAAGAAGACCAAACAGTGGAAGCTGAGAAAAGAAGAATGTGAGAAATTCAGAGAGGAACTGTTAAAGGCTCTGGGTGGTAAGTAAGACCTTCCAAATGACTGGGCTACTACAGCAACAGTAATTAGAGAGACAGGTAGGAAGATACTTGGTGTGTCATCTGGACAGAGAATGGATGATAAGGAAACCTGGTGGTGGAATAGTGAAGTGCAGGATGCCGTTCAAAGAAAGAGGTTAGCCAAGAAGAAATATGACAGTGAGAGGACTGAAGAGAGGAGACAGGAACTGAAGGAGATGGGACGTAGAGCAACGAGGGAGGTGGCAAAGGCAAAGCCGAAGGTGTATGATGAGTTGTATGGGAGACTTGACAGTAAAGAGGACAAGAAGGACCTGTACCAATTGGTGAGACAGATGGATCAGGCTGGAAAGGATGTGCAGCAGGTTAGGCTTGTTAAATATAGGAATGGTAATGTTCTAACAAGTGAGGAGAGTGTGACGGGAAGATGGAAGGAATACTTTGAGGAGCTAATGAATGAAGAGAATGAAAGAGAAAGAAGAGTAGAGGTCATAGAAACTGTGGACCAGGAAGTGGGACAGATTTGGGAATGTGAAGTCCAAAAAGCTCTGAAAAGAATGAAGAAGGGAAAGTAGGATCTGATGACATATCATTGAAGGTTTGGACATCTCTGGGAGAGATGACGGTGAGGTTTTTGATTCAAATATTCAATGACATATTTGAGGGTGAGAAAATGCCTGAGGAATGGAGAAGAAGTGTGCCAGTGCCCATTTTTAAGAACAAGGGTTATGTACAGAGTTTTAGCAACTACAGGGGAATTAAGTTGATGAGACACAATGAAGATCTGGGAGAGAGTTGTAGAAACAAGATAGATGAGTGGTGACTGTGAGCAGCAGTATGGTTTCATGCCAAGAAAGAGCACCACATATGTCATCTTTACTTTGAGGATGCTGATGGAGAAGTACAGAGAAGGTCAGAAAGAATTCCGTTGTGTCTTTGTGGATTTAGAAAAAATATATGACAGGGTGCCAAGGGAGGACGTGTGGTATTGCATGAAGGTGTGGTATTGCATGATGAAATCTGGAGTGGCAGAGAAGTATGTTAGACTGGTACAGGACATGTATGAGGACATCAGGACAGTAGTGAGATGTGCTGTAGGAGTGACAGATAGCTTCAAGGTGGAGGTGGGATTGCATCAAGGATCGGCTCCGAGCCCCTTCTTGTTTGCTCTGGTGATGGACCGACTAACAGATGAGGTCAGGCAGGAATCCACGTGGACTTTGATGTTTGCAGATGACATTGTTATCTGTGGTGAGAACAGGGAACAGGTGGAAGAGAACTTGGAGAGGTGGAGGTATGCACTTGAAAGAAGAGGAATGAAAGTCAGCCATAGTAAGACAGAGTACGTGTGTGAATGAGAGGGAGGCTGGTGGAACAGTGAGGCTACAAGGAGCAGAGGTCACAAAGGTTCAGGACTTCAAGTACTTGGGATCCACTGTCCAAGAAAATGGGGAGTGTAGTAAAGAGGTGAAAAAGGAGAGTCCAGGCAGGATGGAGTGAATGAAGAAAAGTTTCAGGAGTGATTTGTGACAAAAGAGCGTCAGCAAAGGTCGAAGGAAAAGTTTACAAGACTGTGATGAGACCAGCTATATTGTATGGTCTGGAGACCATGTCTGTTCTGATGTGACCTATACTCTGGAGTGACGTATGATCCGGAAAATACGGTGCTCTCATATGCTGCAGACACACCTGGTTAAAGTTGAGACAAATGTTTTTCTTAATGTTAGGTGAATATTGATCCAGACATGCATTATGCTGCGGAAATATTCTTCTCATTGGAAGAGAGCATAAAATAAAAACCTCATCTAACTGCTTGGCAGGAAAGCAAATAATTTCCCCCAAATTGCTCCTTTCATAATTTAAATGTCAAAGCTGAACAGCAGTTATTTTTGACGTCACTCTCGTTATTGGCCTCCATATGTTTCATGGTTGCCTTTCTCTCAGTCGCAGGTACAGACGGTGTTGGCAGAGAACAAGACAGAGGGAAGAGCCAAGGAATGGAACAGAGAAGCTCAGTATGATGAACTCCAGTGCAACACACACAACCTCAATGGAGGACCCAGCAGAGCAAACACACACCAACTCAGTGTGAGAACTGTGGCAGTACGCGAGCACCCACAAGCCTGGGAATAGTGTAAACATGCTGGTAAAGTTGCAGACTTTAGTCTCACACTGACACTGGAGACTTGCAGGCAGCTCTTGGACAGCAGAGAGAACCAACAGGAAGAACACATCACAATGAAAGTCTCTTGTGCCTCTCTTGCTGCTACTGACAAGAAGACTTTTCTTATTCGGCTACTGTAGAGTAACAGGCCTGTTACTGAGTGCTACTGATTGTGCAGCACTAAATAAATTCTTGGAAAAAGCTGTGATGCCAGCTGGCAACCAGTGATAAGTCACGTCAGTCTGGTGTGGTATTAACTTGTATGGGAGACATGTTGACACTAAAATTAGAGAAAAGGGACTGTGATGACACTATACTCTGTTTGGTTTGAGGAATTTAAGACAAATCCATGAAATTTTAACATACAGATGTATAAAAGCTTACAAAAGCAGCTGCAGTTGTGGTGTGCTTACATCATAATACTGCTACTTTGTTTACAACTGGTTTTGCTTCTCGTTTACTTATCACCACCCCAAAAACCGTTATCATCCCTCACTAACAGAGCCACGTCTTCACCTATGCTTGCACAAAATATCGTTACTTGCTTACATTAGCAATGCAAGCAGAGTTTCATATTTCCGAAAGGTTCTAGTTTAATTTAGGGTTGAAAAGAGGACAAGTAGATCTTGTGCTGGAGGCTTTTTTTTATCTGTTTATTTGGAGCCAAGAAGCCTCTGAGTTGCAGAACTGAACAGCTGAGTCTGTGTGTGCAAGCTGAAAATGCTCCACTGTATGAGACAGTTCCCAAACTGACAACCTTTTAAAGCTGTTTTGGAATTTTACCATGTGTCTCGATATATGTCAATTCAGTCAGTTCATCTGCTTCTGATATTTATGTCACCCGTCAATAAACATACCTAGTTGCACTGCACTTTTGTAAAATTTTATTTATTTATTATAGTTTTTATTGGTACAAGGTTATTTTCTCTTTGCAGTTTGCTCATTTTTGTGTTAACAGGCCTTGCCAAACCTCACAAGCTAAGTACGCCTGAGAGTTGCACACAAACAAAACATTAAAATCCCTGTTCCAGTTTTTGTGATGCAAGTACTTGAGCATTACCAATAGCTTAAAATTTCGTTTAACTTATGCATGTTTTTATTTTAAGCTAATTTCACTGCAGCACCCTGATTTTGATCCATGTGTTGTTTTTCAGCTGTGAAGATTAATTTAAAAGACAACTTAATGTCCTGAATGGACACTATGATGATGCTGCTGGTTACCAGCGTTACCTTGGAGAGGCCCTGGTGGTTATATATTCTGTACATGCATGCAGCATATATCTTGTGGTTCTGTTTTTCTCCCAGAATCATGCATGTTGGGTTAATTGAATATTCTAAATTGACCATGTCACTGTGAGCCTGGTTGTTGAGCCTGGTGTCTCTGTGCTCCCTATGATGGACTAGCAACCTGTCCTCCTTGTAACCCACTTCTCATCAATATAGGCTCCAACCCTCTCAGCAAACCTGAATAAGATTTGGTCAAATGGGTCAAGATAGTTCTAATTGATTTTTTTTTAGATTTTTTTACCTAAACCTGAGCAATTTGGACCGTTTCTCACTCACTAACCAATCATTGAACAAGTGTGAAACAAAAAGGAAACGCCACAGAAATCAGTATGTGTTGTGACAGTTGGAAGTGAGGAAAGGAGAAGGTGGTTTTAAACTCATGAACTTTATTACAGATGTGCCGTCAGGTCAGATGTCATTCCAGACTGTCTTTCACTCTACCAGCCTCATCCTTCTCTGTAGCACTACTATAACAGTCTCTTCACCCTATGATGTCAGCAGTGCCATCTTGTGACTAAAAGCAACAACAGCAATAGAAAGAATACGTTTGCTCTTGTAGCAGGACTGAGCGAGGAAAATAAGGGTGATGATTTTCTCCACTCTGCTACATTTTTTTTAGTTGCACTCGTTAAACCAGGGCACCGGCACTGTCACGTTCCAGACCAATAACAAGTTGGCACACTTTATGAATATTCAACTACTAAATTCACCCTTGAATTATCAGACTCAACAGCTGAAGCTGAATTCATTGGTACAGGGAATACTTGTCGCAATATTATAGCGAATGAGGACGAAATTTAATTTGCCCTTTTTAATTTTATCACAAAATAATTACTCAATAAAGATGTCTTTCAATTGGATGGAAACACAATAGGCCATCGAAGTCTTGAAGGCCAAACTGTGTTCAGCTCCTTGTCTAGCCTCCCCTAACACTGGAAGAGTTTCACCTTGATGTTGGCTTTTCCAAACATTGTCTCAGTGCAGGTCTATACCAAAT